GAAACACTCAGAAGAATGGGAATCAACCTCTCTGAGGTGGAAGCAATCCCCAAACCTCTAACCGGATTTTCAGGAGAAACGACGATGACTATGGGAACGCTCAGACTTCCCGTGGTAGCTGGCGGAGTCACTAAGATCGTCGAATTCTGCGTCACGGATCACCCAGCAATCTACAATGTGATCATGGGAACTCCTTGAATCAACGGGATGCGGGCAGTACCCTCCACTTACCATCTCTGCCTCAAATTCCCAACTCCTTCGGGCGTCAAAACGATCTGGGGGAATCAGAAGGAGTCGCAAATGTGCTGCCTAGCCGAGCACAAACTGAGGAACCCCGTCACCGACGCACGAGCTGATATAGACCGCAAAAAGATGAAGACAGACAGAGAGCCCGCGAACGAGCTCTCTAAACTCTTATAGCAATTACAGATCGCGGAGAGCCGCGAAACACGCACCGAGCCGACATGTGACGCAGTGGACTCGGTGTGCATAGACGAGGTGCACCCGGAACAGTGCGTCGAAATTGGAACACAACTAGGAGAGCCCCTGAGAAGCAAGCTCCTTTCCCTCCTCAAGGAAAACATCGATACCTTTGCCTGGACGGCGGAAGATATGCCAGGCATCAGCATCGATGTAACCTGTCACGAGCTGAATGTAGATCCGACCTTTAAACCAGTCAAGCAGAAAAGAAGAAAGCTTGGTCTAGAACGAGCTAAAGCAGTCAACGACGAAGTCGAGAGATTACTCAAGGTAGGATCAATCGCCGAGGCCAAATATCCAGACTGGCTCGCGAATCCGGTGGTTCTAAAGAAGAAGAACGGCAAGTGGCGGGTCTGTGTGGATTTCACCGATCTCAACAAGGCGTGCCCAAAAGACACCTTTCCCTTGCCACACATCAATCGGCTAGTCGAAGCCACTGCAGGAAATAAACTGTTAACATTTATGGATGCATTCTCCGGCTACAACCAGATTCTGATGCACCCCGACGACCGGGAAAAAACAGCATTCATAACTGATCGCGGGATATATTGCTACAAGGTCATGCCGTTCGGACTCAAAAACGCTGGGGCAACATATCAACGGCTCGTCAACAAAATGTTTGCGGCTCAGCTCAGAAAAACTATGGAGGTATACATCGACGATATGTTAGTCAAGTCACTCGAGGAGGAAGACCACGTCGCGCACATACAAGAATGTTTCGAACTGCTGAACAAGCACAACATGAAGCTAAATCCGTCGAAGTGCAGGTTCGCGGTCAACTCGGGAGAATTCCTCGGCTATCTGGTAACCCACCGAGGCATAGAAGCGAACCCCAAGCAGATTAAGGCGTTAATTGAGATGCCCTCTCCGAGGACGAAGCGCGAAGTGCAAAGGCTAACAGGAAGAGTCGCCGCGCTAAACAGGTTTATTTCCCGTTCCATGGACAAATGCCTGCCCTTCTACGACACCCTCAGAGGAAACAAGAAATTTGAATGGGACGAACGATGCGAGACGGCTTTCCAGGAATTGAAGACTTATCTGGCAAGCCCACAATCTTAGCAAAACCGGTCGAAGGAGAGCCGCTCTTCCTCTACATCGCGGTGTCTGCTACAGCTGTGAGTGGGGTACTAATCAGAGAAGAACGATCCGAGCAAAAACCCATTTTCTACATCAGCCAGACGCTGACCGACGCCGAGACCGCTACCCCCAGATCGAGAAGGTCGCCCTAGCCGTCGTAGTCTCGGCTCACAAGCTGCGCCCGTACTTTCAATCGCATTCGATTGTTGTGCTCGCCACACTTCCGCTGCGCTCGGCTCGCCAAGTGGGCCATAGAGCTGAGCGAATACGACATCGAGTATCAAAATAGGTCGTCTGCAAAATAACAAGTGCTCGCTGATTTTCTCATTGAACTCCCGGCCGAAGCAACAAACGAGCCAACTCTAGACGAAGTATAGACATTGTACGTCGACGGCTCGTCATCTAGACACGGCTCGGGGATAGGAATCCGCCTCACCTCTCCCACCGGAGAAATATTAGAGCAGTCTTTTCGCCTGAACTTCCACGCCTCGAATAACGAAGCAGAATACGAAGCACTGATCGCTGGCATACGACTAGCGCAGGGAATCGGGGTTCGAAAGATAAGGACTTTTTGTGATTCACAGCTCGTAGCATGCCAGTTTAACGGAGAATATGAGGCAAAAGATGGACGGATGGGAGCTTACCTCAAGGTGGTTCGAGAGTTGGTGCAAAAATTTGACGAGTTCGACCTCACGCGAATTCCCCGAGGAGAAAACACCTCGGCTGACGCTTTGGCAGCACTCGCTTCGACCTCAGACCCAGATCTCCGACGGACGATCCCAGTCGAATTCATCGAACGTCCTAGTATCGAAGAAGTGGGAGGAGTTCGGCTGATAAATCCTCCTGAACCAGAACCAGAGGACGACGAAGCCATTCCAATGGAAGAAGACGCCTCACCAGACGAGCCGGAATACGGCTGCGACAAAGAATGGCTCGGAGCTATCCGAATGTACATCGCCGATGGAGAGGTGCCAACTGACAAATGGGAAGCCCGCAAACTAAAAGCTCAGGCCGCACGATACGTCCTCGTCGATGGCGATGTGTTTAAATGGAGATTCTCAGGGCCTCTCATGACATGCGTCGAAGGACCGGAGGCAAAAAAGATCATGCACGAGGTGCACAGCGGCGCGTGCGGGACCCACTCCAGCGGAAGGTATCTCGCTATCAAGATAAAACGACACGGCTACTTCTGGCCCACGATGATCAAGGACTGCGAGAAATTTACGGCTAAGTGCGAGAAGTGTCAGCGGCACGCCCCGACGATTCATCAACCTACCGAGCTGCTCTCGTCGATTTCGTCGCCTTATCCGTTCATGAGATGGTCGATGGACATCGTCGGACCTCTACATCGAAAAAGCAAAAGCGTTTTCTGCTCGTCCTCACGGATTACTTCTCCAAGTGGGTCGAAGCCGATTCCTATGCAAGCATAAAGGATGCTCAAGTCGAACACTTTGTCTGGAAAAATATCATCTGCCGACATGGGGTCCCCTACGAAATAGTCACGGGCAACGGATCCCAGTTCATCTCAACACGCTTCGAAGCCTTCTGCGAGAAGTGGAAAATCCGCCTCAGCAAATCCACGCCAAGATACCCCCAAGGGAACGGACAAGCTGAAGCAGCCAACAAAACAATACTCGACGGTCTGAAAAAGAGGCTCGACGCCAAGAAGGGACGATGGGCAGACGAACTCGAAGGAGTCCTTTGGTCTCATCGGACAACTCCGCGCCGAGCAACCGGGGAAACTCCATTCGCTCTGGTCTACGGATCGGAGTGCGTAATTCCCCCCGAGATGGATTTCCCAGGTATTCGACGAAGACTTCTACCAGGGCAGGAGGGCTTGAACCACTTAATGATGCTAGATGAGCTCGACCTAATCAACAAAAAGCGTGACCAAGCCCTAGTTCGAATCCAGAACTACCAACAAGCAACGGCGCGATACTACAACAAAAATGTTCGTAGTCGAAGATTCAAAGCAGGGGAGCTCGTCCTCCGAAAGGTCTTCCAAAACACAGCCGAGAAGAACGCAGGAAAGCTCGGAGCAAATTGGGAAGGTCCTTACAAAGTCACAAAAGTGGTTCGTCCAAGAGTCTACGAACTCGCGACACTAGCTGACGAAGCGATTCCAAGATCATGGAACGCAATGCATCTAAAGAAGTATTATCACTAAAACCACAACACAGCCAGCATGAACTACGAGACGGCTTGATCCCTGCAAAGGGTACGTAGGCAGCCCGTTTTCGGATGGGTTCAGCTGTCCCCCCTCCTAAAAAGGGGGGGGGGAGTGGGTACGTATACACATACCTCCTTTAACTCTATTATTTTGACTTGCCCATTTAGGAACGTCGCCACTTCGGCATATTCTCAGTTCGTTTTTAATCATCTACTTATTTCACTTTCACCCTTGATTTCTGGTTCGCTTCGGCTAGCTTCACATTGTAACAAGCTCGGATTTTTGAATTCTTTAACTCACCACTTCGGCATGATATCATGACCTGATTACCTCGGACCTTTAACGGTCCTCAATTTTAGTTCGGCAAACTAAGCCTTCGAACGCCTCGTCTCGTTGCTGGCCACAACGGGGCAACAAGTGCAAAGTTCTCTAAACGGACTTTTACCACCTTTCCTAGGACGAGGGTGCAAGTTACATCCTCTACAGATAAAAATTAAAGCGCGCTATACAAATATCAGACCAAAAACGTATCTGGTCGCCACGGTTTACTATCGCACACGAGATTATAAGTCGAGACTACATCGCTTTCTCTAAAACCGAAGTAAAACTCTTAAACCCGGATAAACATACTCGAGAACACCGGTCCTTAGACAGGTTCGATAACGCTTCATCCTTGGCTAACGAAAGCAAAACGCCTCGTCGTTCTCACGGCTCGGCACCATTCGAAACAAAATGCCTCGTCGTTTTCACGGCTTGGCACCATTCAAAACAAAAACGCCTCGTCGTTTCCACGGCTCGGCACCACTCAAAACAAACTGCCTCGTCGTTTTCACGGCTCGGCACCATTCAAAACAAAAACGCCTCGTCGTTTACGCGGCTCGGCAACATTCAAAGCGAAAACGCCTCGCCGTAAACACGGCTCGACATTACCAGCAAAGACTTGCCTAAACATTATCGCGTAACACTCTTTTACTATCAAAATTTTGCCTAGAACCTAAACAAGGTCCTTAAAACAATTCATCCCTTAGCCCATGTTCCGGTCAATTTCGAAAATACAGTGAAGGAAAAAATCAACATAACAGCCTTCGTCCTTGGCAATTTTTTCGTAAACACTTTTACAAATTAATGGACGGCTAAGGAAAATATATCCATTAAGCAAAAATAAAGAGTCGGGTGGATAAAGCCGTCCAGGCACAAAACATGTAAAAGTTCAAAAGAGAGCGGATAAAATCCTAAGTACAAAAGCAAGCAAGAAAAATCTGTGAGCCAAAACTCATGCCGCGGACTGCGTTTCACGATCGGCGAGAAGGTTCGAGGGAATCGACGTACCCGCGTTCGAGACGTTCGGGTCCACAACGCCTAAATTGGCCGTTGTTTCTTCGATCGGCTCGTTGCCGAGGGTTGTGTCAACCGAGTCCGGCGATACGGGAGAGTAATACAGTTCACCCCGAATCTCGGAAGCGATACGCTCGTACGCCTCATCGTCGGCATACTCACTCTCCCAGCTTTTCAGCTTCGCCTCCTCGTCGTCAAGCGTCGGGGCGTCCGGCTTCTTCAGGTCGGCAATCATCGCGAGATTGCCCTTGATCTGTCCCAGATCGTTCTCATCATTTTTGGCCTTCTCGAGCTTTACCAAACTCTCCTCCACCTTAGTGAGGCGTTCCTGAAACTTCGCCGTCAGCTCGCGCCTCGCCTCCTTCTTCGCGCGTTTGACCTTGGCTTCGAACAGCGCGTCCTTGGCCTCGATGCGCCTCTTAAGCAACGCCACCTCGGCGCTTTTGGCTCTCCTTGCTTCCTCCAGGCGAATCACCGAGGCGGAAACTTTGTTGACGTCTGCTCGGAGAACTATCTTCTCCTCTTCCAACCTCGACACTTGGGTCATCGCCTCGGTGAGTTTCCCCTTCGCTGCCGCGGCTTCGTTTTGCGCCTCTTCCAGCTTCACCTTTGACGCCGCGGTCTCATTTCGGGCCTCGTCCAAGCGACGCTCAACTTTAGAAAGGTCCGCCTCGTACTCGGCCATCAGGTCATTAATGGCCGCGACAAACTGCAAAGAATAAACTCGCGTTAACACTTAGTAAAAATTCGCAAAAATAAACGAAGGCAAATAAAACGCACCTTAGTACCGCGCTGTGCCATCGCGCCGTATAACCTCGGCCTCCTCAGCTTCTCCGGAGGGGGAAGGCGCGTGTTCGCGTTATTAACACGCGAGAACATGACAGCCGAGGCGTCAGGGTCGTCAACGACCAACTTACGCGCAGCAGGGTCCCCTGGCGTCGGTTTTCGCCTTTTCTTCGCCGGCTCGTCCTTTTGAACGGCGACGCCTTTCCCTTTGTCGGCAGCCGAACGCTTTCGGCTCGGGTCATGCTTCTGGACGACCGAAGTCGGCGGCCTCGTCGACTTCGGGAGAGCAAGAATGGCGGAGTGCGAAGATGTTTTGCTCCGCGCCGCCGAGCCGTCCCCTGACGCCTCGGGGATTATCTCGCCCGGTTCTACCTCGGGCGCTGTCTCTTTTTCGACCGCCTCGGCAGCGTTGCCTTCTGCGGCTCGGATCATCATATCCCCTTCCCGGCTCGGAGGGTCGGGTTGAAGGACAGCCTCGGTTTGCGCTGAGACCGCCTCGGCTTGCGCTGGAACCACCTCGGTTTGTGCGCGAGTCGCCTCGGCAGCTCGTCTAGCGGCTTCCTCTTCCTCGCGCCTCTTCCTTTCTCTGAGGGCGATTACTACCATCTTCTCCCGGGTATTTCTCGAAGAACTTGAGGACGAAGAACTGACGGGGACTCCGGCAAGGATGGCTCGCGCCTTTTCTACTCTTTCGAGGGTGAAGTTTTTTCTCCAATTAGCCTTCAGCGCCGAAAGAGTGTCTCAACAGTAAAGAGATCGTCGGGAATCGGGGGAAGATAGCACCGAACTGCAAAACAAAGCATAAAAAAGCAAAAGTCTCAGAAAAGGAAGAGAATATCAACTGAATCTCCGAGCCGAGGCAAAGCTTCGGGTCGGCTACCAAGTGGTCCCCAAGCTGTCTTGGTTCGGTGAACGTAATCTTCGCCGACCGACGCCTCGTTCACCAAGACGTAGAAGAAGCGTTCAGTCCAAAACTGATCCTTGCTGGGAAAACTGCCAAAAATCCGTCGCTTCGCCTTGTTGGAAATATAGAACCTTTTTCCTTTCGGGGCTTTCCTGATTTCCAGCAAGTTCAGCAGGTGGTTCAGCTCGATGTCGAGACCGCATTCGAAGCTTCGGACTAAAATGCTGATCATATGCCGCAATCCCCTCGGCATAATCTGCCCAATCGAGATCTCGTGTTTCCAAAGGTATTCGAGGATCACCCCGAGGATCGGGAACCAGAGGAAGCAAAGCTCGAAGAATGCCTCGTACAGAGTGAAGTGATTCTCTGGAGGCTTGTCGGCTCGGTCGCTCTTCTCGGGAATGACAAACTCCACCGCCTCGGATATTCCGAAGCGATGCCTCAACGCCTCGAGCGACTCAAGGGAGCAGAGTGTAGATCCAGGCGGGTCAGGTTTTTGTCTCTTAACTCTCGGCCCTCGCCCAGATGTGGAAGCGCCTCGGGACGCCATGAGGCGTTCCAATTCGAGCTTCGCCTCGAAAAGATCAAAGGGAAATGCCTCCTCCTCGGCCTTGAGAGCGGCGCGGTTAATGTCCTCATTAGGAACGGGATCCTGTGGACGGCTCGTCGAAACCGACGGCTCGCCATCCGGAGAGCCGACATCTGATGGGTTTTCATGGTTCGACGCTTCGCCAGATGAGTGATTGGAGGGGATTCTGCCATACCTCTCTCCTCAGCATCTACGCGGCTCGGCTCGTAGTGAAAAAGTGAATCCAACGAATCGTCGGAACAGCTCGACATAATTTATGACTTTTACAACAGTTACAGCGCGACTCGGCGAGCCTCTACCGGAAAAAGATCTGGAACGGCGGAGACCTCGGAAACCCTAGCCGGAAAATAAATAAACTAGAGAGAGAAAGAAGAGAGAAGGGAGAGCTACCTATAGTGAAAACGAGTGAGTCGGGAAATAATGAGGAAGAGTGAAGGAGCTCACCTATTTATAGAAAAACGAAGCGCGTGAATTCCGCGTAAACCTCGGGAAGTCGTCCAACAGCGCATGGGATCCGCGGTGAATTGGCTATACCGGGCTGCGTCGTTGGCACGCGCCGAAGGATCAGGAATTTCCTCTCGAAAGACCAACAGTCAAGGTACCCAGGTTAACGAAACGGCTTGGTATTGACCCTTTCTCTCTTGAATCGCCTCGTCGTTAGCGAAACGGCTCGGCATTGAATCTGTTCTCTCGAAACGCCTCGTCGTTAACGAAACGGCTCGGCGTTGAATCTGTTTCTTGAAACGCCTCGTCGTTAACGAAACGGCTCGGCATTGACATTCTTTCTTAAGACGCCTTGCCGCTAACAAAACAGCTCGGCACGAGCTTTCTCTCGAAACGCTTCGCCATTTGTTCGGCTCGGCATAACCTCCTCAAATCACCTCGTCATGGGCTGTCACTAGTAAAAAAAAAAAAAAATTGCCTCGTTCTTAATCTTGCATCGGCATCTTCGGTACCATCCCGAACAGCTCGGCACTCCTTGGGAACGCCTCGGCGTCTTCATCCCCAGAACGCCTCGGCGTCTTCATTCCCAAAACGCCTCGGCGCCTTCATCCCCAGAACGCCTCGGCGTCTTCATTCCCAAAACGCCTCGGCGTCTAACTCAGTGGTTTATCCTACGATCGGAAATAATGGACCTCGTCACTCTCGCCTCCGAAACTGACGAGCTGGGGGGGCTAACTGTTGGGGTCGGTTTTCACCCCAAGTAGATAAACCACCTCAGAATGGCTAAGTATGGAAGAAAGATAAGTGGGAGAGCCGTGGTCGCCAAGTGGGAGAGCCGTGCTGGCCAAGTGGGAGAGCTGTTCTCACCATGACAAGTGGAGAGCCGTTCTCACCAAGACAAATACGAGAGCCGTGCAGATAGGCCAGTGGGAAGAGCCGTGAAAGAAGACAGGTGGACCGAGCCGCATCGAAAGAAATGGGCCGAGCCCCACTTCAACACGTTTGGGCCGAGCCGTGTATCGGTGCGGTGGGCTAGATCATGTCTCCATGGCAAGTGGGCCGAGCCATGAAGGAGGCTAGATGGGCCGAGCCGTAAAGAAGCATGGATGGGCCGAACCGAAGCCTTGAGAGATGCAAAGGCGGTGAAGCCCATGGAAACCCTAGGCGAGATGCAAAGGCGGTCAGCCGCACGAGGCGATAAGGAAATATTCCGAAAATCTCGCCCGAGATTTTCGGCTAGGCGGTTTAGAAAGTTAGTATAAATATATGATGTATGCAATTCATTCCGCCAACTTTTGCAACCCTAAGCAATAAGACCTACACACTTTCACAGCAATAAAAATCCTCTTTTGATCTTACTGTTTTTGCGATTACCCTAGAAGTTTCAGATCTCTTAGTTTCTCTTCACAAATTCTTGGTTGTGCGAGTTTTGGCTCACACCTTCACTTTCCCGACAACTTAATTAAAGCCCAGATCAATTCCTCTCGTTATTTTTGAAGCCATAAGTGTCCAGAACCACCCCAGAAGCTATAAATACCCCCTTTAGGTCATTCCTAAAGGTGTGGAGAAGACATAAGATAAAAATAGAGAGAGAATTCGTGTGGGTGCTTCAAAAAACCCTAGAGGCCGCCGCTTGAAGGAGGAGGAGCCGCCGCTGGAGGAAGACATCGCGCCTCCATCTGCTTCTCCGTTCTTCATTCTTCTTCCTTCTTTTCTTTAATTTCCTGCAACTTTCAATACTCTGTGATGATTGTTTACAATATGTTTGAGTAGTTACCCAGTTGGGTTTAAAGGGATTGTTCAAAGGGAATTTCATGTATCTTTGCTTATGAATCGATAGATTTAGGATTATTAATCTTCTAGATGTTCTTCGTTTGCCTTTAATCTTACTGCGTGATTCTTTGCTGGCCACTTAGAAGCTGATCTGATATGATATGTTGCGAAAGCTTTCATTGATTGTCTGAACTAGGGTGAAACGAGCAATTCTTCTATAGGAGTGGAAACCTACCTGTAGTTGAGTTGTGAATGTTGATGAGTCTTATTCTGCTATTGCATCTTCTCCCTTCCAGAATCAAAGTGGAAACCTACTGATTAGGGTTGCGAGAGATAGTTGTTTAGTGCTGCGAAAGTAGGCTATTCATACTTCCGTGCCTCGAGTTCTAGAACATACGTAGTTGATTACCTTTATCACTTGTTTAAAATCGACATAGCTTAGTCCATGAACCCCTGCGAAACCCCTTGAGCCCCAACGTTTGTCTTTTATTGCTTACAACCTTCAATTTCATCTGCTTTTTAATCGCTATTTATCTGCTTTTCATTCGCTTGTTCTTTGCTTCAAATCGCCTCTTGTTTAAATCGCTTATTACTTGCCTTTATTTGCTTTCACTTTCAGTTGCTTTTACTTGTTTACCTTTCTAGTTTAGATTTAGTGACAATAAAAACCCAAAACCAAAACCCAAACTGTTTAGTTCTAATCTGATTTAAGCGTTGCAGTGAATTTGTACTGAAACAACTAAGTCTCTGTGGATCGATACCCTAAGTACTACAGCGCACATCTGTGCCCTTGCAGACATTTAGGGGTTATAAATTTAAAACCTGAAGCTTAGTAAAATGAAAACAACCAACCCCGTTTACAACTCGCATCACGTGGACCTTGGAGATTGAAAAGTTGCGAGCCTCAATGGCTCGGACAATGGCAGATATACGTGCCATGAAATCTCAAGTGCATAATTCGACAAGTTCTGCGCCTGAGATTGATCGAATGCTCGAGAAAACCCAAAGAATCCCGTTCACGACGAGGATCACAGAGGCTAGGATCCCTTTCTATGAAGGAACCACCGACCGAAAGCTCATATCACGGCGTTCCGCATAGCAATGGGACGAGCCTTCACGAGGAACTCTGCCAACCTGACCAAGCAAGAAAAAGACACCGGTTATTGTCTGCTGTTTGTAGAGCATCTCAAAGGGGCCGCAATACAATGGTTCTCAAGGCAAGAACGTAATTCGATCAACAGCTTCCAGCTGCTCTCCGCCTTGTTCTTGAAGCAGTAGTCTATGTTCATGGACCGAGGCACCTCCGACACCGATCTATGGACGTTATCTCAAGGACCCAACGAACCGCTTTGGGATTACATGGCAAGGTTCAAAGCTGTTGTATCCAAAGTAGAAAGAATAAGTGACAAGGCCGCCCTTGAAGCCCTAAAACGATCCCTATGGTACAAATCAGAGTTTCGACGGGAGATGGCGCTGAACACGCCGCAAACAATTCAGGACGCTCTGCATCGATCATCAGACTTTGTCATGAATGAGGACGAAATAAAGAATTTAGACGAGCAATACAAAGCGACGAAAGCAGCAATCCGGAGCTCGATTTTAACTCCGGATCTGAAGAAATATTATCCCTAAGGATGCACCACGACCAGCATAAACTACAGAACGGCTTGATCCCTGCAAAGGGTACGTAGGCAGCCCGTCCTCGGACGCGTTCAACTGTCCCCATTCCTAAAAGGGGGGGGGGGGGAGTAGGTACGTATACACCGTACTTACACCATTTCTTAAATTTTTTGCTCGTCAAGTCAGGTATCTCTAGATTTATTTCACTTTTTTTTTTTTCGTTCACTTCCTTTCACTTCGGCTAGTTTTCATTCACTTGCTTTCACTTCGGCTAGT